TAGAGATTTAAAATCCAATAATTATATCTCAAGCATTCAAAGAAAAAGGTCAAGTATTCACAGTATTTAATCAAGTATCCATAGTATTTAAACTTTTTATTTTTATTTTCAACTATTTTAAAAATAGCCATAACTACTCTATTTTTTCTCTCCAATAGTGTTATATTTGTTTGTTTTGTTCCACATGACACTATTAATAGTGTAACTATATACAGTATATATATATAGCCATGTAGTTAAATTTAATAAACGAGGTTAATAAATATGGATGCTCTTCAAATTATTGAAGAATCTTGTTCTATTACGGATCAATATGTAAATTGTAAAGTGATTATCATTACTGATGATGGAGAGTCATCATATACTTTGGAAAATTTTGATAAATCAATGCAATTGGGAGAAGTACGGAAACGATTATTTTTTGACAAGAATGTTTTAATGGGTCAGAATGCAAATTTTTGTCATAAAGATAAAAATAAAATACCTATTACTTTCGAGAATAATTACGTGCTTGAAATGATATTGATTCAACAAGATGAAGTTTTTTATGCTTTCCACATAACTAAAGATCGATCAAAACCTAGTTTTCCTGAAATCGCAAAACGACTTGATTTAGATAAGGGGTTTAAGAAACAAGAAGATGGTACTATAATAACTGCAAGTGCTTCAGCCTTTCGTATAAAAAATCTACAGATGGTGGATGTTACTATTGAGAATAATCTTGATTCTGTTAAGAGGAAAACAAATAAAAACTTTGAGCAGCTTTGGATAAAAAGCTTTGAGGAAGTTTCTAGTACTTTAATAAATAACTTTGAAAGTCAAGAAACTTTTTTGAATGAATATGAGATTATATGTTATGTGAAATGCTCCATTCGGTTATCATATTTGAATTTAGAGCCAACTGAAGAGTATGTTGAAGCTATTAAAGATGCGTTAGATAAAAACTTAAGCAAAGCACAAAGAAGAAAGGAACTGAATAAAGTTGGTGAAAAATATGGTTTTTTTTTGTAAGTTTTTACAATACGATTTTTTTAAATTATTATTTATATTTTTATACTAGTCATTTCTTTTATTATTTTACAATTATAAATGGAAAACACATTTTATTTATTAATCAATTTGATAACAAACAGTGCACAAGAAATTAAACTTGGAGGAAAACTCCAACGAATTGGTAGAAATCAAACAGAGGGAATTACACAAAGCAAGTTAAACGATCAAGATAGTGATATAAGTGAATTCGATAAGTTTAAAGTATTAGGCGGTGATGTTGTAAAATTTGCAAAATATAATAATACGCCTGAATGGTTAAAATCGTTAAAGTCTTATGATAATTTCGAAATTATTTTTTATAATGATAAATTATCGCTCTATGAGTTACTTTCTGAAAAATTGAAGTCAAAAATAAGAAGAGTTAACAGTATGAAAGTATTTTATTCAAATGTTTTGACAACTAATTATTTCAGAGGTCGTCTTATAACTAAAGTTCCCAAGCCACCAACTATTTCAGCATTTAAGGGCTATAAAATATTTGTTTCAATTTTTAATACAGCAGACAGAGAACCGTTTAATACATTTAGTATTAGAATCGATTATCCAGATTTGGATAATCCATACTTTGTAATTCATTGCCTTGAACCAGTTACGGAAAATTCACCACAAATTAGTCTTTTAATACCTTGGGTGGTTATCGGATATGAAGAAAACCTTCCATCTGAACCATTTTCAATTAATTCTACTAAAAACTACATAAAATATATTTGGACTAAAAATCATGATGACACGGGAATAGAGATTCCAGGATTGATCACACGGAAACATTGTTGGATAGGTACTTGCGTTTTGCACTGTGATGAAAATCCAGGGTATGAGCTAGGAAAATCAGAAATAGCGACCAGTTATCATTTTTGCCAAAAAGGAAACCATATGTCAATATGTTGTAATCAACATGATCTTTCAACAAAATCAACCAATTTAACAACTCGTAGATTAAAATTTAAAGTTAATTGCGCAATTATTTTTAATACAGATGACCCTGCTATATCTCGCCCTCTTATTATAGAACCAGAAGGACAAATTTGGGATAGTAGAGAAAATATGAAACATCAAAAAAAGAACAAAGATAATATTTTTACCATGCGTAGATGGTTATTACCTAGAGATGAAAGACTTATATTTGCGAGTCTTTTTGGTTCAAATTCATATAAATATCGGTGTTATCCTTTTTTTTTAAACATCAGTCAGGATTATTTTATCATTAAATCGTTAGAAAATTTGAGCAATCAACCTATAAACCAAATTAATTATGTTGCTATGCCAAGAGTAGAAGGTAATGAAAAAAAGGAAATAATAAATGAAGAGGACCTCCCGTCTATTTTTAGTGATCATGAACATTTAGATCCAACCTTTACAGAAAACATAATAAGGTTTCTCAAATTAAACAACGGGTTAATTGTTGATTCAAGAGATATATACACAGCAAAAAACAAGGCATTTAATTTTGGATCAATTGTAAAAAATATTAAAGGATTCTACATAAAAATATCATTGCCGAAAGATAGAAAAGAATTATTTTTACTGAAGAATCATATAGACGTTACTTCTTTCCAATTGCTGCCTCAAAAATTGATTCAAACTATGCTAAAATTAATCATTAATAATGACAATACATTTTTTGATCATACTCATTTTGAAGTTTATTGCCCAAAAGTTGAATTGAATTTTAATAAAGAGACTATTAAACCAACTAAAGAGATTGAAAGAGCGGTAGATATTGCGTTGAAAAGTAACAAACCATATCAAGAATTGATTAAAGTATTCAATACATTTGGCTTTTTAATACCTCAAAAATTTATTCTTGGGCAAAAATTATATAGAACATCATTTGCGATATCAGACCTTGACGAACAGCAATTAAAAAGCAAGAAAAACTTTTTTCAGAATTATCTATCGAATATAGAAGATCTTTTTGCTTTATGGGAAAACCAGTATGGGTTTGATGAAATATATTTGATGACAACAGATGGAAAACCAATTGAAAAAAATAATATTGAAAAATGGATAGCTGATAATTCTAAACAAGACTTTAAATTATTACGTATTATTAATCGAAGTAAATTCATACCATTATATGAAATATTCGAAGAGCCAATTAACCATCAAATTAAAACAATTTTAGGAGTTGATGACCTTCCAAAGATACTTATGACAGGAATAGTGCAGGTCATCAAAAATGATAAATACTATAAAATAAAATTTTCATCGAATTTGGAAAGTAGTAATTACCATATTTTTGCAAAAGTGACCAGATCGAATGAACAATCTTTTGATAAAACTATAGTGAAAATACAATCTAAAAGTAAGACTGGCTTTTTAGCAATAATTGAAAAATTTGATGAAATCAGGTGAGTAATGCCTTTTCTTGTTTGCTTTCCTTTAAAGCAATAATTTAGTAATTATCTTTCATTTAATAGATGTATAGACCCAACAGACTTGCAAATTATATGGATGTTAGTCGGCTTTCCGGATGAAATTAATTTTTATAGCAGGCACACACGAGATTTATCATTACTAAGAATGGAAAGTGAAGACATCATTCTAAATGGTGATTGCAACCAACACGTCGTAATAAGTGTTCCAAAACAGTTACCAAAAAACTCATTAATGGCTTTATCATTCGAATATCCCTTACTCAGTGATAGTTTAACCATTCGAGACGATAAAATTAGATTAAATATCGATTACAGTCTATATTTTTATTCAAAATCTGACAGTGGATCGGAAAATAATGAATCTGAAAGTGATGAATCTGAAAGTGATAAATCTGAAGATGAATATTTAAGTGATAACTCAGAATATGAGATTGTATATCCACTTCAATATTGCATCTTTAATTTTGATAAAGATTCCATAGAAGTTGATATTTCGACAAGTAAATGCAATAATATTTATTTGAAAGGAATGGGTTTATTAATTAGCTAAAATTCATCATTTTTCAATTTTTAACGTCATATTTATATTTCCATAAAAATAATTCAAACATTTAATTATAAAAATATCGATTAAATATTTAATATGTATGAAATTATATTGATATTAATAAATATATTACTATAAATCTAATCACTCAAAGGCTAAACCATATCCCAATACAAATAGAGTCATATAATCCAAGATCATATTAAAATAAAAAGAAAAAAAAAAACACAAAAAAATTAAAAATATGAACCATTTATTCCAATATTAAATATCATTTACAATTAATATTTATAATTATATCTGTATACATGGTATTAAACTATATTTGATAGCCTTCATTATGTTAATACGTACAAAGCAAAATAATTCAATTTTGTGAAAATTGACCTCATTATTAGTGATGGGAAAAATGCGCATTTTATAATAACATGCGCATGAATGCGCATTAATGCGCACGAAATGTTTCATGCGCATGATATTGCATGATAAAAAAAGGCAAAAAAAAGAAAAAACGGTTGAGAGGAGAGAAATCTTGATGGGATAAAATGCGCATTAATGCGCACGTTTCCGCAATCATGCGCACGCATGAAACCCATCTCTACTCATTATTATACAATATTTCCTCCGGAGAAACACAAAAATAAGAAATTTTTGGGTTGTTGTTTACAAATGAATAATCATTTAATATTTTAAAATGAAGATGGCCAGGTGAAACGTTAATTATTCCATGGCATTCATCGTTATGACAATCTTTGTCAAAAGAATGATTTACAAATATAGGCTTGTCATTGGTATTAATTTCATTTGCTGCCAAATACAAGCTTCTTGATTTTGACACTATATTCTTATTTTTCCATTTGACTTTATCGTCAAAGCATTTAATAGAAATGAGTTGCTTTGTATAAATAGTACTAATAAATAAGAGAAATTAGTTAGTATATGAAATTGTAATTAGCAGCTACTAAAAAGAATGAGCATTAATTTACCAAATGAACAATTTTAAACTTTGTAAAAGTGGCTCATCATCTACTTTCAGTTTCCTTTTGCGAATTTTCGAGCAGTAAGCAAATAAACACGCGGAATTTAGTCGAAGGGAAAAATGTGACCCAACGACTAATTTAAAATCACGCACGTTTGATTGACTTGTATTGTTTGAATTGTTTGTTGATGATATCTCTGAAGTTGAACTTGTTTCTTCCTGCAAAGAATTTTCGACGTTATCTATAACGCACGTAGATAGTGCACATTTTTCTAAATTTAAATTAGTCTGATGTGAAAAATTATTAACAATATATTGGTCATTCAATTCTAATTTTTCACTTTCAATTATAATTTGATTTGATAGCTCAAAATCAAAAGCATCTGTTGGATATCCTACAACCATCCACCCAATTCGGACAGGTATGCATTTTGGACTAGATGTTTTAGCATTCAGTTTTTTAGCAAATTTTTTCTTATTTGGAACACGATTAATAATAATTATTGGATTTTCATGAGTATCATAAGCTACACACGAAGAAAATGTGTGCTTATCTTTTTTTTCCTTCAAAATCGTAGTAAATATTTGGCAATCTTTTATGTTAGGAATATCTTCTAATTGATTGCCTATTTCAAGCGAATGTTGTTTATTTTCGTCCATTGGATATTCAAATTTATCGATATTTGCTGATTTTTCAAAAATAAATAAATTAAATATAATTCTATAGTAAATTTTAACGATTTAATTAAAAATAATACCTTTTAGGATTCTTTTTCCCAAAATTTCTAGAACTGTTTTTCGCAAACTATTCTCCAATAAACTAAATATTGAGTGTATTTCATTATATTCAATTATTTCCCATGTCTCGGGATCTTGGATTGAATGAAGCCAACTGGAGCGATTGCAGTACTCAGCTCCGCCTCTTATTACACATCTGGATTTAATGCTGTTTAATTCCATGGCAGTGCTTTGTCCAGTCTCTAAAGCAGTACCCATCAAATGAGATTCGACATTAAATGACTTAACTGATCCTTGTTGTTCTATATATTTATAGTACAAAGAACATTTAGTAACATTTAAGTAACTCACGGTAATATGAGAAATTTAACGTACTTGAATACTTAGTGTCTACCTTTTTTTGAATGATAACACCTCCAAAGCATACTGAACTTGCATAAAAATAACCATAATCTTCCGCGATTTTTTTAAGACTTTTTACCTTTTCCTCCCGATTCTCTTTATTTAATGCCTTTTTAACTTCATCAACAAATTCGCCAGTTGCTGAAATTTTGCTCTTTGAAATATTTATATTAATTTGTCTTAATTTTATATATGAATATTTTATGGCATCTTTATAATTTTCTAGTTTTTTATACGAGGAATTGTAGTTGGCTTTCAGAAAAATGGAAGCCCAAGGTAGAATAGACGTTGTACCAAATGTAATAAAGTTTCGTTTATATAATTCTTGAAATTCGTTTTTGCATTCAAATAAACCTTCTTCATATTTATCTTCAAAATTGTGGTGTTTCGGCGTCTCTTCTATTGTAAACGCACGATATTTTGCTCGTTTTACTGAACCATCCTTCATTATAAATCCATATCCACATTTATTAGTTAGCTTAATTAGATCATGTTCATATTTTCGGCAAATATTCAAGACATCATTGCCATTTTCAATTGATAAAATGTCACCTAAGTTTAAATGATTTTCTCTGGTTCCTTCAATCTCGTGCTTACTTTGATCTAGAAAATAACAATCAGAACACATATAAAGCTGCGATTGTTCCTTCCAAGTGTTTTCAAGTTCTTTTCGGATCTCGGCGAGACTCTTTCCTTTATCTAGAGAATATATACTGGGTGTTTTACTCTGACCGCTATAAATTATGACCTCGCTCTTTTGTGGAGTTGAAATATACAGCTCATTGCCATTTACTAGAATTTCTTCCAACCTCCTAACATTCTCTTGGCATTCATTAACGATAGTTCCATTTTTTAATCTGAACTTGAAGCCATTAGTATTTGCTTCAGTGAGTATTTTGCGAATTTTTTCTAATTTATCGTTAGGATCCAAGAAAAGGAGCAACATGTTGCCATCTTTACTACCTAAATAAACTTTAATTTCTTTTAACAGATTCTCAATAAATATATATTTATTAAATTCGAGTTCATTTAATGTATATTTAGGTTCGTCCTCATGGTGTATCCGATTCCCATGATTTTTAAAATAAATCTTTTCTGCTTTCCACTCATTTCGATGTTCCGCCAACTTTTCCCGCGCGTCTACAAGCTTTATGTCCGTTTTAAATTTTTTACTAAAAGATATATCGCCATCAATTTTAAAATTAAAAGATTTTTCTCCTCTAAAGATTGAAAGTATATTCATGTTCATTATTGTAGGCTAGCTAATGTACAGAATACCTAATAAGCAAATTTACGTATAACACTAAACTTATTTTTAAAAATGATAAAATTTTACACGTACAACCACATTTGGATGGTTTTGGATGTCGCATGATCAAGGCCTAATTTTAATTTAAAAAATATTGACTGTTTGTTTACATTACACTTTAAGTTACAAAAGTTATATAGTGAAACCTCCATAAGTGCACACCATTTCTAAATGTATGCATAAGTTTTAACCAAATATATGTATAACCTTATAAATGCACTTTTTCTTATTGTTCTCTAAGGATGCGTCATTATCGTGCTTTTCAAATTATTGTGTTCAGCAAATTTCATATACTGGGAATCAGGAATCTAACAGATCTTTTTGATTGTTCTGCTGTTGCAATAATATTTTATTGATGTTTGAAACATATTATTTAAGTTCAAATATTTAGCTAAAATTACTCACAATGTACTCTGCATCATCCAGCCATGTGATCATATGTACATAAAGGTACAGTAACACACTGTTAGAGCAAATCTTAAATTGAAAAAAAAACTTTGAAAGATATTAAGATTGGTACATACTGTACAGTTGCCTCCGAAAGTTTGTCACGGTTACACAAAAACATTAAAAAAAACAACAAAAATTTATGCAATCAACGATATTAATATATTAAACATCAATAGCTAATAACTACAACCATAACCATTATTGCATAAATTTTTGTTGTTTTTTTATTATGTTTTTTGTGTAACCGTGACAAACTTTCGGAGGCAACTGTACATATGTACTGACACCATCGAACCGGTGTCGGCGTTTCGGTCGCTTCTCAAACGGATTTGTCGTGTAACCTACGAACGGCTTAGTCGATAAAAGGCGGTTAGATTTGGCGAGTGGTGTATTTATGATCGTAGGTTTTATAATATGATTAAACAGGGAAATTAATGGGAG